TGCTGAACACCTCTCAAAATCAGTATCCTCCGCCAATATGTATGTCTGAGTGCTGAAGCCCTGCTCTGTTTGCCCTAGGAAATCATCATCTTTCACCTCAAGCAGGCAGCACCTGTATTCCTGCTCACAAACAGAGACTAATTACTCTTCTACTCTCTAGTTTAGGCAGGCAGACCATGCAGCCCTTCACACCTTCCTGTTTCTGAGCAGGGCAATCAGTCATGGCTGATTCCCAGTGACACCACCAATGCCTCATGATTCATCAGCCCAGGGACTCTCAAAACGCCTCCCTGATATGAGATGCATCTCAAAGAGACACTCGATTATATCCAGGAAGAAATCTCATGTTCTGTTTGCTTCACACTATGCAGATCTTCTGATTTTAGCAGCTGTTAATAAGTAGAATAGTTACCAGCAGACAACAGCCAACTCTCTGGAGACAGGTGGTGGTCTGCAGATCAATCCAGCAATGACTGATCTATTCCCTGAAAGCACAGGGAGACAGCAAGGTCAGCCATGCCATTTCTGTCCAACCTTCCTGCTGCTGAAGGCCACGTCACTGCAGGTGTAAGCTTGGCTCTGGATCTGCATATGAAGTACACCTACTTCATCTGGGAATACTGACAGATCACCCACTGTGTACCTGTGTTCCTGGGCCTCTTGTCCTACCTCCTTCTGATGACACTCTGGGTAAGAGGATAGCACAGAGAGGCTGGAAAGAACATGTGATCCACAGTCTATCAGTCTGATGTTCAAGATCTGCCTCCATTGCTACTTGTGTGTATCTCTATGAAGCCCAAGGCCCCAGACATGTACTTGATGCTTTACCTCTTGTCTTTCTTCAGTTTAGGAGTATTTATAGCCAACAGGTTAATTTTTTCTAGGCTCTTTTCACAGATGCTATTTTGCCCATCTGTGGGCATGCAGTCCACATACAGGTTATAGCGTAGCAGCGCCTCTGTCTTCTTACGCAAGCTGTCGGCAGAAATTACCCGCTGGGTGAACACCCAGGGATCTTCAGCCAGGAACTGCAGGTAAACTCGTGGCATCCAGTACTGACATGGCAACAATGGGGCTCTTCCTGAGAAATGAAAGTAACGCTTACAAGAATCTACAGGGAATGCAAAACTCGAAACGGCTTGCAATGCTGACTGCAGCTTTTTGGTGGACAATATAATTGGGTTGGCTTACTGGAGATAAAAATGAGGACCAAAGCTGGGGACTGCAAGAGACAAGGATCATGGACTTAGCAGCATCTTCAAACCTTTCAAAAGAGGGGTAGTTCATCTTAACCTGTTGACACAGCCCCTCGAAATGATGCTGGCCCAGAAAGACCATCATTTAACTTGTCTTGAAGGCAGGAAAGTTGGGAGACAACAAAAAAGGAAAGGTATCTCCAAAGGGAAAGCCTCAAATAAGTTGTCAAATTAAGGAGTGGAGTTGTCTCCCATAGAGGTTTTGCAGGACTTGTTAAACAGATATGTGTGAGGAGTAATAACAGGAAGAGGAATGAATTGATTTGTCATCCTTCCCATCTCTACCAAGGACCAGCATGGGTAACAGAAAGAGTATATGCCAGGTCCCAAGTGGCCTTACTTGAAACACACCTTCTGGAGTTATCCCTCCATTGAGGATGGGTCTCCCTTCTTCATCCCGCACCAGCCCATTCTTATCTGTTTTATGGACCAAGTAGAGCTCTGTCTCCTTGTCATAATCCAGAACACCAACATCAATCCACTTGTAGATTAACTTCTGGCTTTTGGGGTTCTCTGAGAGAATCACGGATTAAAAGAAGGTTAGTCCAATTCTCCTGGATCATTCCCATGACATCTTAACCCTTAAATATTTTGATCATCTTAAACGCTGGGAGGTGCTAACCAGACATATGTAACTATATCACTATCAATACAAATACAAGTCAGGACAGCATTATATTGCAGATAAGAATGGATGCTGTTAACCACTGGTCAGAGCTATAGGAATGTGCAACAGTGCTGGCACTACACAGACACCAGTGGTCTCACTTCCCCCAGGGCCTAAAGGTTCTGTCTACTTGTGTGCACAACAGTCCCTTCAACCCAGGGAGTGACCAGGTGCAGTGCTTCCCAAGCCAGCTGCAAGCAGAACTCAGATGTCCCATGCTGGCTGCCTGAGGATCCATGCCGCTTAGGTTTTGCGGACAGCCAAGCCTGCGGACGTTGCCCCAGAGCTGCAGTCAGTGTGCATGCCCGTTCCTAGGCTTTAAAGCTAGCGCAGATGCATTGGTATGAGCCGCAGTCATACTGGACACCACTTCAGCTGTATGTAGTGATGCCTTCTTATTGCGAAGGCTCTGAGTGACAGGAAAACAACAGATGTCCACATCAATTTATCCCAGATTTACTACTAGGATTTTCGCTGCAGTCTTAGCTTGACTTTTGATCCTGCACTCACAGTGGCATCCAGGCAGAACATCCTGCGCTCAAGATAACTAACTAACTTCATCATGGTACCTACATATCAATAAAGCGAATTTTGACTGTACTGACTTCTAGGCACAGAAAGGAGAGCAAAAGGCAGAGAGGCTACTTCTAAAAAAGTGTAAACAGCAAGTCCAGGGCAAAACTGACAATCATCAAGATCCTTGATGTCTTGCTCTGTCTGCCTGAGCCTGGTCAGAATGAGTTACTGCTTTTCTGCTATTCAGAGCTGCATTTGTCAGAATCTGCATGCTCCCTTCCGCTGAGTGGGCCTGTAATTGTTAGCACTGCCTCACTTGGGCAGTAACTCATTCAAGCTTTACCATGTCCCAGTACATCATCCGTAGGTAGAAGTGCTTTTCCAGGCACTGGCTTTCTGTCGTAGGAACCTGGCTCCAGTCCTAGTGAGATCCACTCTTCTGGAGTTCGACAGTCATAATCTTTATTGTCAAACATCTGAAAATCCAGGACATTTGTGAAACAAAGTCTTACTTCAGAAATACAAATTTTCATGAGAGGAAAATAAGCATGAAGTTACTAAATAGGCTACAAAAAGAGAAAACAGTCTAGGTGCAAAAGCTGTGCTGATCTTTGATCAATAATCTTCTCCCAAACAACAATATCTGTACCTCTGTCCCTTTCCTGGGGCGCAGAGACACCACCCGGGGAGGTATCACACAGTAATACTGCTGACTACTGCATCCAGAAGAAAACACAAGACACCTTTTCTTTGGACACGAAAAGTGACAGTGAGGAGGAGCACTCTCAAGAACTGCTTAGGCACCCTGCAGAAGATGCTCAGCATCTTGCAGAGATCCTTCAGGGCCAAAATCTGCTCTAAAGCATTTCCTTGTTTTATCACGTGCTGTATGAACGACGGCTAAGTGTCCTGCAATTCTCAGAAATACCCCATGGTATAAGCAACAAGACAGGTCACAGGCACCAAACATGCCTCTTACTTTTAATGGGAGGTAGATGGGAAAGACAGGATCTTTCTTCTCTGCAATAGCTGGCATATTGTCAGGATCATGATGCCTTGGCACCAGCTGATTGGAGTCTATCCCCTTTTCAGCTAAGAGCTGAGCAATATCGAAGCTGAGATATAGCCGCCTTTTCCTGTTTTCAATCAGAGGGGGAAATAAACACTTAATGCGCTTATAAGGGTTCTCATGCCTGTAACTCCACTTTTTGATTGTACACACCATCAGCAAAAATGTTTTTGAGCATATACCACATACACATGTGTTTCTTCATCTATAGGATAGAATAGTTCAGTTGGAATGGACCTACAATAGTCTAGTCCAGTTCATAAATTCTACATATGTACCACTGCACTAATACATTACGTACATTATAGAGCATACACAACATACAAATTAAAAACTATGTGAAAAAGATGAAATAAACGCTATTTTAATTTTTTTTTCTTCTTGTATCCCAGTGAATCATCTTGTGCACTCCCTCCAATGTGCACACCCCACTTCAGAGATTGCTGCCTTACAGGATAGTACTTTCCTAAAGAATTTTGACATGTCACATCTTGAAAGCAAAAATCAAGACCCTAATCTGCTGTGTCCATTTTGTAATGATGTCTAGTCACCTCCTGGTTACTTACCTCTCTATTTCAAGTGCCCGAGGGCATTGCCCTGGAAGCCTTTGGAAGGCAACCTGCACTTTAGGCTTAAACGATTGTGCTGCGAAATCTGACTTAACGAGGTTCTCAGTGGTTGGTCCAATCACTTGCTTATCCAGGATACTTTGAAAGTCCTCAGGCATCTTGAAGGTTGTGACTAAGAGACAACAGAACACATGCCTGAAACCACCGTACATCACTCTGCTTTACTTCACCCAAACACAGGAGGTCTGTGCTGTCTCCCGAGTTGCCTGTAGAATTCACTTATCTAGATTAATGAGAGAAATCAAGCAGACGTCAATCGGGAAACAGAAAGGAAGACCTTTTTTCACTGCTGCAATACATCATTACGGTTTTCCAGTACCACAGTGATGGCACAGAAGAAGCCTCCACTGAAAATTACTGTCATGCACCTTATTAGGAGGTAGGGCCCTGGCCTGGCTCTAAGGAGCTCCGTTTTGTTCCCAACTTTGCTACAGACTCTCTACACGGTTGTGGGTGAGTTACTGTCTCTAGTGCAGAGCTTCCCTCACTCTCAGAAGGGGGTGGGAATCCCTTGCCTCTCTGCAGTGCCTGGGAGGAACTCAGTCAGGCTGGTGATAAAGGGCTCATGAATATTGCAGGAGAAAAGCAGCCACTGAGGTCATCTTTATGTGCTGAAGTTCCTATTCACACCTTACTTGGGACAAACCTTCCCTCAGTTTTTGCTCAAGTGAACCTCCCACTCACATCAGCAGTAGTGCGAGAAAAAAAATTGAGTTTAACAGCTAACAATCTCACGATTTGGCCAAATGTTTTCAATGAAAATTTGGACTAAGCAAAAAGTGTACATTTCCAAGAATTGGCTGAAATTAAACCATGTCATTTAGCCCATAAATAAACCAAACTGTTTATATTGCTAAACAAGCCGCAAATAATAGAACAGCAGTAAACTGGGAATTTGAAGCTTAACCTAAATTAAGTAATTGCATGCAAGCTTTAAAAAGCACTATTCCCTAGACAGAGCTAAGCATTGAGCTAAAAATAGATTTTAGTGGAGAAAGAGCTTTTTCTTTGATGAACTTGCACACTCTACCAAGGGGAAACTTAAGGTTCTGGCTTGTAAGCAGGTATTTTGGATGTCAAGCTTTGGACCCAGTCCTTCACCTTGTTCCATATTCCTCTGCTCACACCATGGATGCGATCCCTTGACTTCGAAGATCTTGTGAAGAGCAGCCAGTAATGGTGAATGTCAACATATTTCCGGATGATCAGGTACAGAAAGGGTGCTTCTCAAATGGCCCAACCCAACCCTTGTAGCTGCACTTTGTCTTCTTAGGGACTAAAGGAAATGGCCATTGAACTGGCTCCTCTCTCTCTCAGGAAGGGTGCCTAGCCTGGAATATATGATCCTAAACATTTGCATTGTCCATACCAATATGCATACTTATGGTAATTACAAAGCCCTAAAATGCAGCTCCTTAGCCTCATGCTTGCTTGGGGTCTTTACAGACCAGCCCTGATGTGTATTTGTTGTCAGGCAGCACAGCTGTTCCAATCTTTTCACTTCATTGTTGCAAAATCCATGGCACCATCCATTATGGCACTTTGTGCACTATCAACTATTTATGTCAATATTTAGTGTTTCATTTGCATTTACATTTCCAGCTTGATAGCTTCTTCCTCCCTCGAAGAAAGCAGCAGATCATAAATAGAGATCTGTCTCCACTTGTTAGGGATGAGTCTAGCTTGCCAAGATTCACTTGAGGATGCAGTCATTTGTCCTCACTCATGAAAATAAATGTCACTTCTAAGCACAAGAAGGTGGTATATATAGTTGCCATCTTTCTCTAAGACTAAAATCCTCTCACATACATGCTTTTTTCCCCACCTGCTGCCAGCCTATGATCCATATCCCCAAGAGTGCTCTACGGGCCAGGAGAGTGATGGCAAACCTTTCAGCCATGCTCCTAGATTTGAGCATCTGCGACATGACATGTTCTAGGAAGCAGGTGGGACCAGCGGCTCTGTACACACAAAGACCCCTTGTATCTAAGATGAACAAGCTGCTCTGGGGCACAGTTGGATGCAGACTGAATAAATGAGAGAGGACCGTGATTTTGGCTATGGCTACCTTGACCCTGAACACAGCTCTCACAGGCAGGTCCTGTTCTCACAGGAAAGGAGCACTGCTGGCTCCATACACAATGACAACACATGAAAATTCAGTGCTCCCCTGGCATGTGGCCCATGGGACCAGAACTTCCATAGGCAGCTGCGCAGGCCACCCTGAATCCTGGGGTGAACGGATATATCCAGGACAAAAGAGAGCACGGTTTTACCACCCAGTCAGATGATTTTGCTCCACTTCTAAATGGACATTGAAGCAGCTCAGCACCACTCCTGGGCAGGCAGAGGAGAATGAAAGCACCACGCTAACCTGGAGTCACCAGCCTAGTTCCCAGCATGCTCGCTATAAGCAATCTTAGGAGTCATGGCCCCATTCCCCACCACAGTATGTTTCCTCTCAGTATACTTACCTGTAGGGGCGTGCTGTTCGAGGTCCACCTGGTGTGCCAAAGCACGGTACATACGAGGGCCAGCACAAACATCCTGAAATGCAGCATGTAAGAGAAGTGTCAGAGATAACAAAGCACAGTGGGTGGGTTATAGAGAGAGACTGTAAGATCCATATTAGCAGAGCTTTAGGGATGACTGAGACTGTGAGCAATGGAGAAGGCTCGAAGTGGCAAAAATACCTGGGAATTTCAGCCCAATGCAGAGAGAGGTAGAGGATTTGTCAGCAGAGTGCAGCCTGATGTCAGCTTAAGATACGGATCGGGGGCTGATAAGGCAGGCAGTCACTAGGGTTTTACTTTTAAACATCATCTGCAGTCACAACCACATGCCCAGCGTCTTGAACCGGGGCAACATCATGACAGTGATAGCAGTGGCCACTGAAGAAGGCAGCACAACTATTATCAGGAAGAGCCTTACAGCTATATTTTGCAAGGGTTAAGGTCTTGCACAAACACCTCTCACCAAAATTAAGGGCTAGAACCTGGGGTGAAAGCTACATTTCTCAATGCCAAATGCACCACAGGTCTTTGCAATTTAGAAGGACAGTGGCAGAAAAAGAACTGCTCTTTGTACTTACCCCTGAGATGGCAGAGGCTCCTCGAGTGGGGACATCAGTAAAAAATTCCTTTTTTCTAATGTCTGAGTACATTTTTGGCCCCTGTTTGGAGCTATCAGGAGGCAACAAAGTCGTTTCCTGACTGGAGGCTGAGCATGAGGCCTCCCTGCTGCTATTGGAAAGGTTGGGGCTCCTACTCGGAGGTTCCCTCAAATCCTTCTTTGCTTTATCCATCTTCTTATGAGAACAATGCTGTGATGCAACCCTGGGCTTGCTAGAGTGGAAAGACATTGAACCTGTCAAGCACTGAATCTTTGGCAGTCCTCCACACCCTCCCACCAAGCCGGATATCGTTGGCTGGCTAAGAAAATGAGCAGGTAACAAGGTAGGTTCGACCCGCTGCTTTGGTACAAAGTGCTGCCTTCACAGCCTGGGAGCCATTGGTCTCATGTGGCTGACTCAATGGCTCACTATTCCTGGGGAAAGAAGAGTGCTTTATTATTCCAAATGGGTTTTGGAGGGTGAAAACCAGCAATATAGGCATGAAAAGCTGCTTTCCTGAAGCAGCAGGGGCTTCCCGGATCTGTGGCAGCATTCAAAAAGCTGCCAGGAGAATTTGAGTAAACTGGGACTACAAAAGAAGTGCTACTTTTGTTGAACCCAAATCCCTTAAAAACCTTGTCATACTTGACTCCAGTGGGAGTAGGCTACAGTCTAGATACAGACACAACTACTCCCAAGTGTAAAGTCTGACTCTTTCATTTAAATAATTGAGGAGAATTGTTTAAGCATCACCTAACGAATATTAAAATACAGCCAGAAGCTCCTCTCTCTCTTCTCCTGCATGGGGTATTTTTGCTGGTGATCTCAGCTCACAGATAATTTCTACTCTTCCACCTTGGGAGACGCGAGTCCAGGCAAATATCACAGCTATACAGCTGTATTTTATAAAAACCTTTGCACACTGAGAGATACTAATTAAGAGCAGTCCTCAGACTTCTGGCACAATGATAACGTAACTCTTGATTTTAGGCATGTCTTAAACAGAGAGATGACTGCTCTAAGTAATTAGTACCCCTAAAGTGACACAAGACCCTCCAGCCTGCAAACACATGCATTGATGTAATGGTGTACACACACCCACATAGCTTATTCCTATAAGTTGCAAGTCAAAGCTCTCCTCTGTGTCTCTCAAGTCTACTCCAAGGGCAGTACAGCTTATTCATCAATTCCTGCCCAGTGCTAGACCCAGACTCCTAATCCAGCCCTACCTGACTGAGTTTGTGTCCTGTACCCTTGCTAGGACCCCCACACCCGCCTTGCTTACTTCTGGAGGCCAAGCCTCAGCCACAGGCTGCTCCATGGGAGTCTTGCAGCTCAGTGCCAGAAAGTCCTTGCCTGGTCTTGCAGAAGTTGGAACCTGTCTAGAGTCTCATCTTGACGTGGAGACGACAACACAGCATCCCTTCCTGCTGTGTCCTCTCTGCTCTGCCCTTGAATGGAGTGAAAACTCTGCCTGCCTTATACTCTTGATCATAGAGGGTAATTTCTTCTAAATTTCACCTTGCTGTCTGTCTGCAAGAATGAATCAGGTACACACAGTAGAGAAAGCATTACATGCATGCTGGAGATAAGAGGGAATTACTGTGCTGGTTTATTTCTGCAGGTTCAAGCCAGTGCACAATTTTGAGAGGCTGAATCAAGAAAGAAATCAGATAATAAATCAAGGTTACCATGATGTGAATCCTTTAAGTGAAAGAGAGTAGGCAAACAGATTGGAGAGACCTGGGAGAGGAGATCAATAATACCCGCTGCCTGCCTTCGAGCTAGAAAATCTCAAACCTTTCTCCTCTCAGTTTCTATTTGGCATGGCAACTGGAACTTCATACCCTGAAAAATGAATTTTCCATGGAGGATTTTGGGTTTATTAGCTATTTTATGCTCTGGCCATATCTATTTTAGCAGCCCAGCAGGATTGATTGGTATCAGCCAAGATTCAAGGATTCCTGATGAATCACTGCTGGACCCTTTCGTGCCTGCTGCACTAGCACAGAGCACAGCAGCAAGGCGGAATGACCCTGCGGTGGCTCTCCTGATGTGTCACCTGAGCATCCTTTTCCCAGGGGCAGAGGTGAGGTGGTGACGTGACTTACTGTACTTTTACCTCTTAAGGCCAAAAACCTAACCCCAGCCAATTCCAAAAAGCTAACTCCGGGATGTGAGGTTCAGCTGAGCTTTTAGCAGGGTGAGTGATTGAGCCCACTCCCAATTTAGCAGGACTGGCAGTCTCTGCCTAGAACCAAACTAATGTGGCTGCAGCCGATGATGGCTGAGTTCCCATGACGGGGGAAGTGTGTACCAAGTCTACCCACAATAGACCCAATTCTTCACTGCTTTGCTCCCTCTGTACTCACTCACACCTTTGTGAGTGCTTATCTCAAAATATAACAAACCCCTACTCAGTGTCCAGCTCAAAAAAATCCATCTGTCACACTCTCCGAGCTGCACAGAGGGAGGATATGGTGTTTGTAACTGCAAAAAAAAAAGACACGCACCACCCAAAATAAAAAACAAAACCAAGCCTCCAAAGTTTTCCCAGCAAGTCTCCAGACAGATGAGTAAAACGGCGTGTCTGAGCATGGTCAAGCCAACAGAGATGGGAGAACTCCTAAGCACAAAGGGAATCCTACTCTGCTGCCACCCCAGCTGCTGCAATTCAAGCAAGGTTTCCCAGAGTGTGGCAGAGAGCTCATTCTGGTGCCAGCCTTCAGCTAGAGGGTGGTTTGGTGCTCCCATCCAGCTCTCAGCAACCATCTCCAGGTTGATTTAAAAGAGACACCTTCTCTCTTTTATTCAGCCTAGCTGCTGAGCCAAGAAGTTTAATGCAAAGCAGTTCACTCTTCCCCAGCCTTCAACTCCACCAACGGCACCTTCTGTCTCCCCACTCCCCGTAAAACAACGAGCAGCATGCAGACTCTAGGGCTGTCCTCTCCACCCTCCATCCAAGGGTGACTCCAGACGCTCACCCCTGGGTGTGGATTACCGAGGCTGTCACTTCTTGGGGAAAGGAACACCTTCCATCTTGTAGCAAGCACACAACAGCAGCCCGAGGTTTCAGCCAGCTCTGCCAGAGCAACAGCCAATGGTGTGAAACATCCTGTGCTCAAGGATTTCTTGGTTGCTCAGGGGATCCTGAAGAAAAGCAATGAAACTGCCCAGAGCCCTGTTAGTGTCACACTGCTACGGCCACAGGCAGAAGGTTGTCTGCATGCCACATTCACAGCCTTCAACTCCTTTCTACTCAAGAGCTCTTTCCTCAGGGCTGGAGCTCCCCTTCGATAAGGTGGCAGAAAAAGGAGCTCAGCTCATCGCAAGTCAATGACACATCTTCCAGAAAGCAGATCCTCTGCCGCCCTCAATAACCCTTCACATCCTGCTGCCCCTATGCAGCCAGGAGCATCTCCCTCCTTCTCAATGGCAAACATCTGCCTGGCACCAAGCCATCCCAGCTGTAGCTATAATGAGCTTTGAAAATCTGTTCATGACTGCTGAAATGCCTATCTTTTCAGCAGCTCAGTGATGCTCTCTCATGCCTGAAAAGCACGTTTCCTAGATATATACCAGGTACGTTGTGCTATGCTAAATTGAACTATTCAAAATAAGAGCATAATCTAATGGCACTGCTGACACAACATTAGCTACAGCATCTGTGTGTCATCGTGGCAAAACTATAATTACAATTTCTTGGTAAATCCAGGCTTTACATACCCAAGAAGTCACACTCCCACGCATCTTGTTCAATGTCTGGTATGAGCTTTTTGATCTGTTGCCTCTACTTTGATTCTTTGATCCAAAACTTGACAAAACGGACTCTTTTCTTTCAAGTTAAGGTTCAAAATGTCTAGAAATTGCAAGAGAAAAAGTACTTTAGAAAAGAATCTAACCCATAAGGAAAACTGCAGATTGAAATCTAGTAATCGTTTATCTGAAATCTATAATCTTTGGATAGCCAGAACCCCAACTACTACACCAACTGGACACCAACATGTAAAAAGTCCTTCTTCCTATAATTTACAGCATATAATAGAATCTCAGACAAGGTGATGCACTCTCAACAAACTGCTTTAAACATTATCCTCCACTTCAAATCTCTTCTACTTTAAAAAGGGAGCTGAAAGTAATTTCGAGTTTTATAGCAGACCATTCTCTCCAAGAATTCGCTTGGTTTTAAAATTGATTTTCCTCCAGGTTTTTAAATGCATTCCTTTCTCTGTGGGAAAGCACCGCACAGCCACCGCTAGAACCTGAGGATGCAGCGGGGAACAGCAAGACTGATGGCAAACGGCGTTGCTCATTACAGAGAGTGCCTTAATGACAAGGTTACACCTCACATTTTAAGGTTATAGCTATAGTGGGTATTACAAGACACCACGCAAAGTATTTAGAGCGTGACTCCAATGTGTCTGTTCCACCTGTG